TTGCAGAGCACCCAGGTTTGGTTCCCAACACCCACATGGTGGCTAACAAGTTCCAGAGGATCTGATGCCCTCTTCTTTCCTCTGTGGGCTTTGCACAACATGTGTGTACTTACATACATGCAGGCAATACATTCATACATATAAAATGAAAATAAAATGTAAAATATTATTTATTTATTGGTCTTTTTGAGATGGGATCTCCTTGTAGCTCCACCTGCCTAGAACTCACTATGTAAACAGGATGGTAGAAGAGAACGTCACCAAATTAATGAAAGACATCCCCAAAAGAAAGAGCAAATTCAAATCAACAAAATCAGAGATGAAAGGGGAAATACAACATCAGACACCCAAAAGATCTAGAACATTATAAGGGAATACTTAAAAAACCTATACTCTATTAAATTTTAAAACTTAAAAGAAATGGATGGATATCTAAAACCATAGGAATGATTAAAGTTAAACCAAAAAGATCAACAGTTTAAACAGACCCATGACATATAAGGAAATCGAGGCTGTGCCCTCACCTTCCCTTTGCTTCCTGGGCTGCATGGCCTCTGGTGTCCTGGAGCCAGCACCTTTCCTGGGTAGGTACAGTGGCACCCACCATACCCTGACTCCCCCAGCCTCTTTCACCCTCCCAGCTCCCCTGCCACCTCTCTCCTCCTAGCGTGGGTACTGGCCCATTTCTTGTCTTGGCACCCCAGACCCCAGGACTCACCTCTCAGCCCAGAGCCACCACTGCTTCTTGATCCTTTCCTTCCAGACCAACCTAGTTCCTCCCTGTGATCCCCAGGAGCCCTCTGGGCCTGGTCCCGCCCTCACCTCCCTTTACTTCTCTGGGCTGCACAGCCTCCAGCCATCCTGGTGCCAGCATCTTTCCTAGTCCCCAGGAACCCTCTGGGCCTGGTCCTGCCCTCGCCTCCTTTTGCTTCCCCAGGATGTACAGCCTCTGGTGTCCTGGTGCCAGCACCTTTCCTGAGTAAGTCCAGCAGCACCCACCACATCTTGACTCCCCAAGCCTCATTCACCCTCCCGGCTCCCCTCATAGGCTGGATACTGGCCCATTTCTTGTCTTGGAGCTGCAGATTCCTGGACTGACCTCTAGGCCCAGAATCTCCACTGCTTCCTGATCCTTTGCATCCAGACCAACCCAGTTCCTCCCAGTAGTCCCCCAAGAGCACTCCAGACCTCTTTCCACCCCCACCTCCCTTTGCATCTCTGGGTGGCACAGCCATCGGCTTCCTCAGACCAGCATCTTTCCTAGGCCCTGCTCTTAGGCCAGCCCAGCCCCCAAATTCCTGAGGGCAGCATCTGTCCTGGAGAGATCCAGACCTTAGGAGAAAGCCTGATATCATCTGAGTCTCATCTCACTTGGGCCTCTGTGGGAACTCCTGAAGACAAAAACAATTAGGCCTAAAAGCAAAGAGAGAACCTGAAGCCTAGACGAACCAGCTTTTCATGCCCAACAAGTAAACCACAAAGGCACATAAAGTTTACAAAAAAAAGCGGATCTAAACTCAACAAAGGAAGGCTTGAGTCTCACACAAGAATCAGAAAAACTATGAAAGAAAAAATCACATGTCAAAGTCACAGAGAAAAAACATGAAAACCAAAATAGCATATCCCCACCAAATACCAATAGTCCTCTAGAGGAGTATAATGAGAACCCCATAGAGATAACACAGGACATGGAACTCAAAAGAATAATTACAAACATGGACATGGATTTCAAAAGAACAATTATAAACATGATAAAAGAATTCAGTGAATTTAAAGAACACACAAAGAAATCAAAGAACTGAAAGAAGAAAGGGACAATCTTCTGAACGAATTCAGAATAGAGTTAGAAATACTAAAGAATGATCAGGCTGAAAGGAAGGAAGTGAAATACTCAGCCAATTAGAAACGAAAGGAGAAAGCCTCACCAATAGCATGAATGAAATGGAAAACAGAATATCAAGACTGGAAGATAAAGTAGATGATTTAGACCATTCAAGCAAAGATTATGAAAAATTTAAGAAAACACGAGATTGAAATATGCAGGAACTGTGTGACATCAAAAAGACCAAACTTACAAACATAGACATACAGGAAGAAGAAGAATCTCAGAATAATGGTATGTACCAGATCTTCAACAGGGTAGAAGAAAATTTCCCAAAATTAAAGAAAGACATGCCCATATAAATACAAAGCAAAAGAGGCCCAGAAAAGAAACTCTGCATGGCATATCATAGTAAAAACTCTAAATGTTCAGAAAAAAAGAGAAAATCTGAAAGCTGCAAGAGAAAAACAAGTTATGCATAAAGAAAAGCCCATCAGAATTACAGCTGGCTTCTTAATGCAAAGATAAAAGGAAGAAGAGTCTGGAGCAAAGTATTCCATGTTCAACACGATCATAGATTCCATCCAAAAATACCTTAGTCAACAAAACTGTCATAGTCACA